AGAGAAATATTTTTCAAAAACGTTAGCTGTTCTATTTAAAAATCAACGTTTTATCTATAAATAATACTGTCTTTCTGGGATATTTGACCTGACTAGCGCTAAGAGGGTCCATCTTAGCTCGCAAACCACAAGATCACGCTGAGAACAGAAATATTTTGCTAAGTTTACAGAACAGACACTGCAAAGTTGACCTCTGTTACACGAGGTTTTCAGTAGAGTTGATTGTATACAGGGAGCACCAAATAAATGGATACACATTTTAACAAAGGAAAAAAACTGTATTAAAATTGTAATACTCAATATATACCAATAACAAAAGATGAATACAAGTCAATTATAAGAAGTGCTCAAAGTGGTTATCATCAGCGTAATTTTAATAGTTTTTTTTCCTTTCTTAAAATGTGTACACATTTTTTTTTGGCACCCTCTGTATATTTATATTTTTGGACATAGATTAGGTTTGTGTATTTTACTTTAGGATATTTATGTTACTTACTATTCTAAATTACTGTCTTAAGAATTAGCATGAATATTTTATGTTTTTCCCAATTAAACCTTTAGAAGTAAACTCAAAAGTACTTATAAATTTATGTTGAATGTAGGGTTTTGTAACATTAAGTCCCATTTACTTAAGGATAATTGGTTCTATATCACCTAGGCATAAAATTAATATAGCTTTTCTTGTAACTACTGCAGTTTTTGATCTAATGTTGTCTTAATGAATTTACTCATAAGAGGTACCTGATAAAGTAATAATGAAAAACTCCCTGGGTGGTATCCCTTTGTTCCTTCCCTGAAAATAACTGAATTTTAATGTGAAAATATATAAACAAGTACCTTAACTATTTCATATATCTAAGATTTCTACAGTTAAATTGTGTAATTTTATTTTGTTTGATTATTGTACCATGGACATGTTTCCAAAAATCAAATTTACTTATGAAAATTCCACAATCACTATTGAATGGAAAACACCAAAAATACTAAAGAGTGTCACCTTTGCTTTTGTTATGAGGCATAATTAAAAGTTCAAAAGTAACCGTGACTAAAATTGTTCCTCTGTAACATTTTTCACTTTTTGTCCTTCTCTTTCTTTTCTTTCTCACCCTACTCATTGACCTCCCGTACTCCTCTTTAAGCAAATAAAAATATTCCGAATTTAGCTTGATTAATTTTAGCGGTAAGGAGAAGGGCTTGGTCCTAAGGACCATAAATTAGTTTATGAATACAGTTATCTCATGTTAAAATCAATACACGGAGAAACTCGAACAATCTGCACTTAGCCAACTCCCTGGTTTAACTCAGACTCTCAACTTCCTTTGTGGAACATGCTAATTAGTTTCCTGGGTAGACTAACTTCCTTAAGTAGCAGTCAGCATTTCTTTTAAAGAGTAAAAATTGTTTTATTTTACATTTCTCTGATTGCATTTCCCATGATGTAGTTTAATTCTTCATAAATCCATTTTATTTTGGTAAGAACATTTAACATGAGATCTGCCCTTTTAACAAATTTTTAAAGGTCCAATGCATTCTTGTTTATTGGTACAATGTCATATCGCAGGTCTCTAGAGCTTAGTCATCTTGCTTAGCTGAAATTTTATACCCTTTGATTGTAACTCGCCATTTCTTCCTCCCCCTGGCACCTGGCAACCACTGTTCCTCTCTGAATTTATGAGTTTGACTAGAGTTCTCATGTTAATGGACTTGTGCAGTGCTGACTTTCTGTGACTAGCTTATTTTACTTAGCATAAGTTTTGAAGGTTCATCCATGATGAAGTATGGTTTAGTAGTTCATTCCTTTTTTTTTTTTTTTAAAGATTTTTATTGGGGCATTGGGGGATGGGAACAGTGCTGGGGAATTGGGGGAGTTGGGGGAAGGGGAACAGACAAGTTGCTATCGTTTTGTTCTTCATCGCCGGTGACTCAGGGCAGCCCAGCTCCAGGTTGAGCTGTTGTTCAGCATCTTAGCTGCAGAGGGCAGTGTCACTGGCCCTCATATGTTGGATCCGAACCAGGGCCCTCTGGCGTCCCAAGCCAGCTGTTAAACAATGCGCCACTCGGCCAGCCCGATTCCTTTTTAAGGCTGCATAGTATTTCATTGTATACCGCTTTTTCTTGTTCATTCATCCATTGATGGACGTTTATATTGTTTCCATCTTGGCTATTGTGAATAGTGCCGCCATGTCCCCTGACCATCTCACCAACTTTACATGGTCGTCAGGGGCCACTTGTATTTGTTACGTAGCATGTTAATGCCATTTGTTCATGTTCTTTCATGTCATAATAAAATACTACAGAGAATCTTCCCTTTACTAGGCTGAGGCTGGCTGCATTCTGTGTGCTTCCACATCAAATACCGTTAGAAAGACAACCCGCCCACTTGAGATAGATATACCTGCTATTTGGATCTGCTATATCTTCTGGAAATTCTTAAGTTTTTACTCTATAAAATGGGAAAAATGACTGACAGTGTCATGGATGAGAACGAGGCTTCATCTTAAAACCAGCTCTGGTTAATGGCTGGCAGCTGCATTTGGATTTGTGCTGAGATGAATCTAGCCCCTTCCCCCTTCACGTAGAATGCCCTAACCCCATAGGATGCCACCCATGGGCACGGGATGGAGTCGGACAATAAAACCGATGCCGTTGTTCTCCTGAGCTAAACAGTAAGCCCCCAACCCCCCTTCCATGGTTTCGCTTCCCGCGGTTTCAGCTAGATGTGGTCCGAAAATACTAAATAGAAAATCCCTGAAATAAAAGAGGTCATATTTTAAATCACACCATTTTGAGTAGCACGATGCTATCTGCCTTTCTGCGCTGTCTCTGTGCCCAGCATCCCCCGTTAGTCATGTAATAAGCATCTGGGTTATCAGATCAACTATCGAGGTAGATCACAGGGCTTGTGTTCAAGTCACCCTTATTTTACTTAATCGTGGCCCCCAAGCCGTTCCCATAACTTTTACTACAATATATTGTTATAATTGTTCTATTTTATTATTATTCTCGTTAATCTCTTACTTGCCTAATTTATAAATTAAACTTTATCATAGGTATGTATATATATAAAAAAAACATAGTATAATATATGTAGGATTCGGTAGTGTCCACGTTTCAGGCATCCACTGGGGGTCTTGCAACGTATCCCCTGCAGATAAGGGGGGACGACTGTACTCACATTTTCCTTAGTGTTTTGCAGTCCTGTAAATTAATGCTTCTCTGCCTTAGTTTTCTTTCTTTTCCTTTGTCGGGACATTCTCACAGTCACATCTCTCAGCATTGCTCAGTTGCTACATTGATGCAAAGGACTGACTCTTGCACAGCTCGATCCTTTGGGTCGCCCAGGACACACGTCTGTGTTAAGTTCACCACAAAGGAGAACCACTCCATGCCAATGAAAGCCACAGGATTTGCTGGCTGGCCACTTCTGAACCTCAGGGACTCCAGTTAGCCTTCACTAAAGAAAATCAGCCCACAGGGAGGCCAGTCGACTCAGTTGGTTAGAGCACAGTGCTCCTAACACCAAGGTTGCCAGTTCGATTCCCACATGGGCCAGTGAACTGAGCCTTCCACAACTAGATTGAAGACCATGACTTGACTCGGAGCTGATGGGTCCTGGAAAAACACACTGTTCCCCAATAAAGTTTTAAAAAAATTTAAAAGTTCTCATCACAAGAGAAAAAGTAAAAAAAAAAAGAAAAGGAAATCAGTCCCTAAAATTTATCTCCCCAAATATTATCCTCACAATTAAGAATTGTGCTACAGAATAGGAGGGCAAGGGGGACATGCCAGGGCTCACTCATTTAGTGCGTCTGTCTACTCACTGGACTTGGCTATTTGCTTCGCAATTCTGCCCGTGGTTTTGAGTTTCTTTGAAGAGACCAGCCTGGCCAGATGAAAAATAAAATAATTTCTATAATCCATGTGTATGGTCTTAAGAAACGGAATAAGAAATATTTCTTTGTAGTAGTCTTTAACAAATGAGGAAAATGAAATTCACTTTATAATGTAAATGTGAGTGGAGTTCTTTCTTGGAAGACAAAATCAATACGTGTATTCTCAGAAGTAAAACACAACCATTGAGTATTATCGTCTCAATGCTCCTTGGTACATGTACACCTAAAAGACGTCATGTGCTGTGTGTATGTTAGATCTTAGGAGGTTGATGATAGGATTGTGTAGATCCGCATGTTAGGGATGATTTTATTTCAGGTTCTTGCCTAGAAGGTAATGAAGCATCAGGCGTCAAAAGAAATGAAACTTTATTCATGTCACAATTATTTATTGAATACCTACAGTATATTATCAATTATACTTCTGCCCTTGGGAAGTTTACACATATGCAAGGAACACAGACTCATAAATTGATAGTTAGAGATAATATGTAAAGACCTTATTGGGTTATGCCCAGGCTGCGACAGGAATATATCATAAATCCCTGTCATTTCAAATTACAAATTCGTTTCATTGCAACATAAACAAAGTTAGCTTTATCGTCCAGGTGAAAAAAAACCTTGAAATTTTGAAGGGCTTATGTTAAGTATTAAGGGCTACCTTAGAGTCTTGACTTATCAAATTTATAACAGTAAAGTTCCATCTTTTAGAATATGGGGTATGTGATTTCAGCGCCTTCAGCGGGCTAAATCACACAATAATTACAGTTTAAAACCCAAGAGATTCTCTTTTCTATTTTTAAGCCTCTTAATGACATCATTTATTGTCTCCTGGCAATCAGTTTAGGAAATCATGTTAGTCCACTAAGCACTGCAGATAAGGTGATCCCACGAAGCATTCCAAGATTATCATAAGGAATTGCTTTAGCATGCCATAAAAGAAAAAGAAAGCAGCAGATTATGGGCTGCTACAGCTTTTACAGTTCTGCAGCTCCTCCCACCAGAGCGCATAAGTCACTCAGTTACAGTTAACTTTGGGTTGTCAGTCACGGATTGAAAGCCCAACAGCCATCACACACGCTGGGCCTGTGCCGGCACTTGTATGTGTGTTTCTCAATCAATGATGAGGGTATCGGAGCCGATACTGGACATGGATATGGCGAATTACAGTGAAGTTTTGGATCCGACGTATACCACTTTGGAGTTCGAAACTATGCAGATTCTATATAATTCGAATGGTGAGTTCTCATCGGCTTGTAAATATATATATATATATATATATATAATATATATATATATATATTATATAAATTAAGTATAGTGGGAGAAGAAAAACTCAGCTTTGCAGGTGATCGCCCCATGTTTCATTGCTGGAAAATTCAGGGCTTGCTTTTGAGGGCCACAAATGTGAGCTTTTGGACTTTGTCACAAAATTTGAATTAATCACGCTATGCCTCTTTTACCTTAGAGATAGAAAAAGCCTCGTTACAGGTAATTAAGTAACTGCAGAATTCTGTCACGGGCCAGTTAGGTAAAAAGAAGAGTTTCAGCAGTTATTTTATTTTCTGTGAATCATAGTAATAAGTCATATCAGCAGATTGACTATAAAGTGTGTTTTCTGTGCAGTATTTAAAATGGGGTATGGAACGAAGTTTTCCTAGGACGCTGCAGAGTTGTACTGGTTGCCTTCTCCTTTCATTACTCTGACTGCCAATCACTGCTGATGAGAAACTGCTTTAAAAATTACGACCAAGTTTTTGCGCTGAACACAAATATGAAAGGAAATAAAAGGTTTATGTTATAACCCCACTTGACAAGCTAATGTTTAGCCTTACAAAGCTCTTGGTATTTATCTACTGTAACATTTTAACTTTGAATAAGACATGAATTGTTTAGGGTTCATGTCTTTATATAATACAGTTTGCTATTGACATTAAATTTCTTCTTTAGGTAAAAATGTCACCCAAGATTAGTTATAGCTCAGAGCACTCCTAAAATCTACTAATTATGTGTACATTGAAAGAATGTGTGTGTCTGTGTATGTGTGTAATTCAGGGTTGTGAATGTATTTTATACACAAATATCCTAATGTTCTGCTCTGCTGTATTATTAGTGGGACAATGTTTTTAAGTTATCGGAAGATGAATCCTGAAATTTGGTACAAAGACACTTAAAATGAACCAATAGTGCAAATTTTAGGAAGTCACTTTTTTGATTCTTTATGTTTAGGTTTGATTAGAGATATTTAATAGAGTATCTCAATAGAATCATGATTTTCTTAACGACTAGATTGTTAAAGAGTAGGGACAGGTTTACCATAAATATTCACTAAAACAGCTGACTTTCCAAAGCAATGTGTAACTTGTTTTCTTGTAATAGTGTTGTTAATAATATATGAGTATGATATTAACTTAAAACAAGAGTTCAATTTTTTTCCTGTTTCCATATAATCTCCCAGAATACAGTCAATCCTTAACACTTGTAACTACTGCATTTCTAATATCTATTTTGTTTATGTACCAAAAGAGAAATTCCTAGCTTTAAATTTTATAATGTCACATGGTTAATCTTAAGCATATTCTCATTAAGTTTTTTTTTACCTTATGAAATTATACATGATAATATTTGTCAACTCAAAAGTATTAGTAAGTAGAATGTATGTGCTGTCACAGAATATAATGGAGATGTGCAACCTTTAATTTTGGTTTTTGTTACATTGGAGATATATTAATACATTTTTACTATGTTTATATTAGATAATTTATGATAAATTAAAATTTAAAAATACATTACCGTATCTGTTCAATGTCTTTTGAGTACCTACAGATTTTTAAAGATGTAATCAACAACATTAACTCATTTAGGAAATATTGAAGTTAAAATATTTTTGTGGGTTCTTTTAAGCCTCTTCCTTCAAAACTATGTATTAGATGCCCACTGGTATCAGGCATAGTTCTAAGAACTGGAAGGCAGAGGGGTGAACAAGACAAATAAATTCTCTGACATCGTGACGTTTGTATTCATGGACAAAGAAGGCGAATAAGTGAGCAGACCAATACAGAATATGATGTTAGACAATGAAGCAGTTATTAAAAAATATGTATATAAGGAAGGTTCTATGTTCTATTTTGTGGGCAGATGGGAGGTGACTCTCTTAGAAGTGTATTTAGCGTATGTTTCACAGAAAATGTGAGATTTGAACAACAACTAGAGAGCCAGCTGGAAGAAATTCTTGATGAAGAAGTTTCAGGAAGAAGTAACAGGAAGTGTAAAAGCTCTGAGATGGGAACAAACTTTAAGGGGAAAAGGAAAAAAAAAAAGGCAGCATTGCTGGAGAATAGTGAACAGGGTGAAAAATGATACCAGGTAATGGGATCAGAGAGGTGAGAGGGGGCGTTGATCACGCACAGGTAAGACGGATCTGTAACTAGGGGTTGGATGCAGAAGGCTGATAGATGTGACTGTCTCATACCAGGAGCACTTTGGGGGTTTTGGGGTCATGAACTATAGGGGGGATCAAGGGTGAAAGGAGAGAGATTAGATATGAGACTATTGTAATGATCCAGTGGAAAGATGGGCAGTTGGATAAGGGTGACCATAGTGAAAGGGTGAAAAGTTACGGATTCAATGTATATTGAAAATATGAACTTGACTGTTGGGTTGGATTTGAGTGATGGGATGTATTGAGTGAATGCTTGCAGGTTATTGGCCTTTGGAGCTAGATGGTACCACTGACTGGCATAAGGAAGACTGAAAGAAAAATATGCTCTAGGGGAAAAACCAGAGTTCTGTTTTTATACGTTAATTTGCAATTCCTATTATACTTCAAAGTGAAGCTGTTAAATATGTATTTGAGCATTTCACACAGATACCCATGGGAGACCTCAGAGCTACAGATAAAATTGGGGGATTTTCATCATACAGTTAATATTTACTGTCATGGGACTAGATGAGCTTCCCTTGGGAAAGAGTGTAGATGGGGGACTGAGCCCTACAGTGTCCCAAAGTTTAATCATCAGAAATAGGAGAGGGGGGAATTGAAATGGGGACTGGGAGAAGCAGCCAGGGGTTAGAAGGAGAGCGGTGGCATGAGACCTCCAAGAAGCCAAGAAATGGACTATTTCAAGCCTATGAATATTTAGTAAGGTGATTTAAACTAGAAAGATTCAGTAGTAACTCTCAAACTCTACTCTTTTTTTTTTTTTTTTACGTTAGCTGATAGTTCTGCCCCAGAGACGACAAGTATGAACACCGCAGACAACAGTCTGAACTGCCTGTGTGCTATCTGTGGGGACAGAGCGACAGGAAAACACTACGGAGCCTCCAGCTGTGATGGCTGCAAGGGCTTCTTCCGGCGCAGCATCCGCAAGAGTCACGTTTATTCCTGCAGGTACCTGAGATGCTCTTTCTTCTTAGGAACGTTCTCTTTCGAGGTGTTTCAAAATGGCGTCCAAGAAGTCAGCGAGTGAAAATCAGAGCTTTTTGTTTCTGTAACTCTAAGAACCCAATCTACAAGCTACAGGAAGGGTGAGGATGCGTGGGTGTGTATGCAGGATGCATTCTCACAGGTGGTTCCTTTTTTTTTTTAATGAAACACTCAGACTTATAAAACACATTCTTACCACCCAACTCAGACCTATATAGTTGGAGCCTAGTGGACACTTTGTCTCCCTCCCCTCTCTCCCAGAGGCAACTACTATTTGAAATTTACTCTCTTTTCCTTGTGTTTCTTTATTGCTTTACCACATGTTCATATACCAATAGACATATTTAAATCTGTATTTAAATGGTTTCATACTGTGTGTATTTTTCTGCATATGGGTTTTATTGTTTTAGCATCATTACATCCCGAACCTTTTCAAACAAAATCATAAAAGTGTAGATGATTTTGCTAGCTTGTTCATGTCAATGAATGAAATTAAATTTTCAATCCTGAAATTTTAAATGTATTTCTCGTGCCACAATTCTTTTGCCATTGAACTTAATGTTTTATGTAAAACTTATTTAACTTATTTCTAGTAGGATGTTCTTCTGTGTTTTTAAAAATTATCTAGTCAACATCATAGCACAATTTAGGGTTAGACATTCCACACTGAGTGTTCAGAATGACAGTTCTCTCATGCAGATTATATCTATGTTAAATATGGAGTTTTAATAATGACTGATTATAAGAGAAAAATATCTGTGTTCTATCGAAGAAAGGCATGTGGAAGATTGTTATGTTGTTTAAGGAAAAAGTTGGATATTTGAAAACAAGTTAATTCTTCCACAATATGATGTCATTTGAGTTCTAGGAGTATGCAAAAGTTAATATATAACTCCCCAAATACCTAATTAGTGTTTTCTAGTAACTTTCCCTGGACAGCTTAGTAGGTCAAAAAAATGTAAATCATTCATTTTGTAACCTATTTAGTAAATGAAAAATAATATTTAGTTGGGTCTTGCTTTTATACAGAGGGTGCCAAAAAATGTATACACATTTTAAGAAAGGAAAAAACTATATTAAAATTACACTGATGTTAACCACCTTGAGCACCTCTTGTAATTGCAGAAGTCAAACGTGACTTGTATTCATCTTTTGTTATTGGTGTATATTAAGCATTACAATTTTAATACGGTTTTTTCCTTTTTAAAATGTGTATACATTTTTGTTGGTACCCTCTGCATATATCAAAACTCTAAAGGTAAAATTAGACCAAGTAGATTTCCAAAATTATCAACTAAAATATATCCAGAATAACATGTAAACAACACTTGAGTGATGTGTCCTGTAAAAAGTGAAATACAGGACCAGCTGAGTGGCTCAGTTGGTTAAGAGCTCGCTCAAGAGTGCGAGCTCTAAGCAACAGGGTTGCCGGTTCGAGTCCCAGCCCAAGCTGAGCTGCCACTTCAAGCAGCTAAACCCAACAAAAAAGTTTAAGAATCATAGCATATCAGCACAAAGTGTTGTGAAATCAAGATTTCCACCCTTCCACCTGGGGAAAGAGGGAAAGGAGTGTTCCCACAGCAATGTTTAGAAGTTTAAAAACTATTCCAACAACATGTGCAGTTGAACGCCTCACACCTTCCCATCCCAAGTACTGCTGCCACCTTAGCCTTCCTTACATATTTTGCTATTAAGCAAATGCTATGATGTTCCGTTGGGAAAATAGTTACTGTATTGATGCAAGTTCAGGAGCACAAAATGTTTTAAGATCAAGTTTTGCTGGCCTCACATTTATGCATTTCTTTAGATTTACAAATGCCATCTCCTCGCGAACTGTTCCATCACACTGAAGTTGGGCTTTCCCCCCAAAAGCACTTGAAAGTACTGTGTCACTACTTCTCACATTATGGTTTTTATTGTGGCTATTTGTAAACCCATATGTGTACTCTGTTAAATTGTAGTTTCCTTGAATGGAGGAGATAGGCTATATTCCTCTGTTTAACCCCTGTGCCTGGGTCTCAGACACAGTGGTTGCTTAATAATATGTTCATTCCAGTTTTGCGTTAATGTGATGTTAACAGAATGTGCTCTCCTGTTGCTTTTATGACTTGGTCCCCTCTCCTGAGTCACCTCAGCCATGCATCCCCACGTGAACAATGCTTTTTCCTCACCCTGAAAGTACATCTCTCTTCCAGCTCACTTCATTTATCGTAGGTTATATATTAATTCAATTTTACATGGCCACCCGTATTTTTTGAAGAAATATCTTCTTTTATAGATCACAAAATATATTCTTTTATTCTCATCATTAATCGTCAACTACAAGTAAACAGGGATATATCAAAACATATGGGTAATTTTAGGCCAGAGATGTGAAGAAATGTTATTCTTTACTGTATGATTAACATTTGCCCCAAAGTCCTTAGACTACATCCACATAACAACCTTTTAAGGTAGGTCCTCTCTATCTTATGACTGTAAATTAACTGGAGGTGTCAAATAGCATTCTCAAGTTCTATGGAGAATAAATGGTGGACCTGGGAATCAAGCTCCGATCTAATTCCAGAGACTGTACTCTTTTTTTTCAAGTGTACAATTCAGTTTTTTACTATGTCCACAGAGTTGCACAACCATAACTCTAATCAACTTAGAACATTTTTACCGCCCTATAAATAAATCTGGTGTTCTTTAGCAGTTACTACCTTCCCCTGCCCCCGGCTTCCCCCCGACCAGTGTGAGGCAACTCCTAGTCTATTGGGTTGTCGGAAAAGTCATGATGTATTTTTTCTATGTTTTTCATTGCAAAACTGCATCATGACTTTTCCAACAACCCAATTCATTTTGTTTCTATAGATTTGCCTCTTCTGGGCATTTGATATAAATGAAATTATACAACATTTGGCCTTTTGTGACTGACTTCTTTCACCTGGAATAGTGTTTTCAAGGTTCATCCATGTTGTAGCATGTATCAGTACTCCATTGCTGTTAATTGACCAAAAATAATATCCATCATGTGGTTGTACCACTTCTTGTGTATTCATCAGCTAATAGGCATTTGAGTTGTTCCCACCTTTCGCCTATTTGAATAATGCTGCTCTGGACATTTGTGTACAAGTGTTTGTGTGGACTTATGTTTTCATTTCTCTTGGGTATATACCTGGGAGCGGAATTGCTGGCTCAGATGGTAACTCTACATTCAACTTTGTTACAAAACTGCCCAACTGTTTTCCTAAGCAGCTGCAGCATTTTGTATTACAACCAGCAATGTGTGACAGTTTCAGTTTTTCTGCATCCTCATCAACACTTGTTATTGTCTGTTTGTTTGTTTTTTCCTGATTATAGCCACTTTAGTCAGTTTGAGGTGGTACCTATTTGTTTAGAGACTGTACACTTAATGCTGTCTTGGCTGCCTCTGGATATGTAGTTTGGCATTAGAGTAAACTTTAATTGGATGTGAGGAACATTTAAAATTAAAGAATATTTAGATTGAGAAAAGCATGGAAGTGCAAAGGAATGGAGTTCTGATAGAGTTAAAATGTATGTGCCAAAGATTCTGAAACTGGGTTTGGCTTTCATGACTCATGATAGAAATGACCACATACACTGGCCAAAAGTGAAATATCATTCAGTTTTATTTCATTATAAAGACTCCATGAGAGGTGAGGCTTGTATTTCCACGTACGTGCTGATTGTGAGACTGGATTACTCATAATTAATTGTTCTTATACATTCTTTCTATTGGGCCAAATTTGGCCATACTTATTTAAAGTCCGTTTGTTTGCTTTTTTTCATAAATAATTTTCTGCAAACTAATACATCTTTTTTTTTTGATATTATAGGTTCAGTCGGCAATGCGTGGTTGACAAGGACAAAAGGAATCAATGTAGATATTGTCGATTAAGGAAGTGTTTTAGAGCAGGAATGAAAAAAGAAGGTAATAATATATAGCACAATAATGATACTTAACATTACTGATCACAGGTGTTATATACACATTGTCATTTGATCAAAAAATTTTCACATGAGTTCTGATTTTCCTCAGTTTTTCTTAACGAAGTATGTATGATTTTTTGAGTTTAAAAATTTACTCAAAGACACTGACACCCAGCTAGTAAGCAGTACAACCAGTCTATCTAAGGACTGTCTGATTCCAGACCCCCATTCTGTCCACTACTGTGTTATACCTGGCAACAAAATTGTTGTCTAAATAACATTCCAATATCCTGTTCAAAAGATAAATGGCAGAATCAATTAATAGGTTGAAGTTATAAATGTATTTTTAAACACATTTTTATTGTCAATAACAATTGAATATCTTTATTTATTTGATAAACATTAACTGAACATTGACATTTCATGCATTCATTTATTTATTTAACAAGTATTTATTGAGCACTGCCACTCTCCAAACATGGTTCTGGGTGCTGAGTTTTCACTAGTTAACGTAATAGAATAATCGTCTCTAGGAGATTATGTTGTTAAGGGACAGAGACATAGACTAGATACTCGAATTTCGTTTTGAACATATTAAATAATCTGATTATATTACCCTCCATTCTGAATATGCTTAACTTAGAAACAAGTGTGTTGAACACATTTACACGCTTAACACTACAAGAATAGTCACTACAATACTTACACTTATCACTCTTATGCCTATCATATACAGAGACACGTTTCAGAGCTATTGCACAAACTATAAAAAAATTAAGTTAAATCACTATCCTACAGAAATTTAAGATGTATCAAACCTATCTTGAACACAGCTAGTTTTTTTCTTTGTCACTCAGTGTTTTAAACAGACCAAAATCTCATCAGTTTCATTCAGGTTGCTAGTCTCAAAAAAGAAAGCACATGGAAGCTCACAAAATTAAAGGAGCAGCACTTTCCTATTTAAAAATGACTTATTTGCAATGGCATATTTGATAGTTTATGGGATTAATTATGTCCTTTGTCAATCACTTGCATCCATTTCTAATTGAACTCCAGCTTTACTTCTACAAAAGTATAATACAAGCAAATCACCATCCTGTATTTCCTTTAAGAGTTTCACAGTTTGTGAAATAAAAAATTGTGTTAAAAAATGGTGAAAGTGTGTATCTTCTACTATTCATAGAATAATACATTAGTTTTTCTAAATAGATTAGGAAGTAACTTTGGAGTTTAAGAGTAGCGATATATTTTTTATTTATAATAATAGCATAATATCAAGGTTAGTTTAAGATGGAAACATATATAAGCATAGCTTTATGTCAAAACTGGCAACAGCAAGAAGGTTACAAATGTTCACAATATCTTAAAGATTGATCATATAAATTAAATTCATAAAAGCATGGCTTACATTTTAATTTTTTATCTCCACAAATGTATTTCATCAGTTTAGGCTGAAAATCAATGACAATTTCTGTAAAAGTGAAAAAAGAAAAAAAAAGAGGGGGAGAGTAAGCTACCAGTAAATATAATTTTAAATAAAATATTAATGATTCACTGCAACTTAAAGGCAAAAAGTCCAGTATTTTCTCTTCCAAATCAATGAGTTGACAGTTAATAATAAGTTTTGCATATATAGTTAACTTTGGCATAGAAATTAGTGGACTTTTTAATAAAAGAATAATTGCATTAAAAAATTCTGATAGTTTAATGATTTACCTTTCCAGCAGAACAGAATACAGCCTTAACTTAATTAATTTAGGGACTAGAGGCCTTGTTTTCATTATTTTTGGGTAACAGAGATAATTTTATCTTCTGAGTTTTGAAATCCAACTTTCACATCTGATTTATATTATTCTTTGTGTGACAAACAGGTTAATGCCCCCCTTTTACTCTTCCTTATATTTATTACTTAGTTTTCAATGAGAAATTTGGGGATACGTGGTATTCTTTCTTTCCTTTCTGAAACAAGTGGTTCTAGTTCCCTTAGAAGCCTTTTATATAATTCATGAGATTTCTTCATCTTGCCAAAATGCTGAGAGTCAAATGTCAAGCTTTTCAGGAGAGTTCCTACTTACTGCAACTTTCGCTTTATAAATGTTGTACTTCCCAAGACATTGTCTCATAAGACATCATCGCATTGCAATCTTAAAGTCTCCATAACTAAAATCAATTAACTTTTCCATTTTTTGCTAGTGTTTTAGACGGAAAAGAAAATGGAGGTTTCAAACATATATGACTCACATCTTGTGACAGTGAATACACTCCTGTCTTTGACCTGGTTAATCTCACAGGCAATAATACTCTTCCTCTAGTTAGCTTATGGTTTTATGAACTTTAAGAGACTGGAAAACCACAGTATTAAAATACAGCATGGCTGAACTGGCTGACCCAACACTTTCTAACGTGCATACCCTCGCCAACCCCCAAAATGCAAGATTTTAGGAGTGCAAGTGACAGGCAGGCTCTTTCTACTTTTAAAAGTGGTCGAGAGTGATCAACATCTTCAGCCATACTCTTCCCTACCCCAGGTTGTTTAGAAATATCCCTTGTCACTTTTTATACTAATTTTTTTTTAATCCAAAGCGTATATCTTGATATATATCTATATATATATATATATATAGATATATATACTGAAGAGAACCGACCAATCAAAACTGTGCATTTTCTCCTCCAGCTGTGCAAAATGAACGTGATAGAATCAGCACCAGGAGAAGCACGTTTGATGGCAGCAACATCCCCTCCATTAACACGTTGGCACAAGCAGAGCTTCGGTCTCGCCAGGTACCCCCAGCCTCCCTCCCGCCCGCCTAATAGAATCAAGCGTCTATGTAGGCGGAACGCTAAAATAATCTAATATTTTCAAAGTAAGACTCTTGAATGTGTGTGAGTGTAACGTGAGCTTTACTTTGAAAAATATTAGTCGGACTGTTGATTTCATTTTGACTTTTCTTGGACACGTTCCTATTTATTAAATGGAAAAATGAAATGCATTTCAGTGGAAGATTATAAAAAGAAGTCATTTGTGTACAAGGTTGGTTAAAAATACTTAATGCATAGCACAGCGCTCGGCAGGGCAGCATCTTGTTTTCTTGACTGAATCTGTAAAATCAGTTAGCACAACTTTTGGGGAGTTTGGTTGAAACCTATCATCAGAGGTTCCTTGAAAATGGCCTCTGGACTCAAGAACTCACCTTGGCACCTGCTTTAGAAGCAGGTCTTTAAGGGAAGAGCCAGAATTTAAAAACAAAAAACAAAAAAAAAACCAGGAGAAATAGTTTAAGTTTCAAGAATGAAAATATGAATCCTAAAGTTTAAAAATGTAGGTCATGTTGATACATAAAAATACATCAGGAATAAAAGAAACCCTTTGAAGACAGTTTATTTTACCATTGCTTCTATTAGAAATGATAATGATATTTTTACATTATAAGGCAACTTAGGAAATAGCTAACGATTAATCCGATCCTGTCAGTACAACTTTCATTTTTGATAACACAAGGGTCATATGATGAGGTTAACGTCACTGTTATCATCTTCGTTACCTGCAGATTACTTGATGGTTCTATAAAGCATTTAGAGCATGGCTTAAAGGGGAGCTGTAAGGAAGTATACGTTCCCTACAGAAAAGTCACATACACACGCACCCATGTTCAAAAATGTCAAAAACAAAGTTTGTAAAAACTTTTAGAAAGTGATTACTTTGGCTGAAAGACATTTTAACACCATTTATATGTTTGTGTAGTTCAAAATTATATATAGTTTTTAAAATTATCATTGTATATTAGGCTTTTCAATGTGGCTGAGTCAAAGGTTAGTATCTTATTTTGAAGGGCTTCCAACCAGTGCATAATGCACATCATTCTGGCTTCTCATCTAAATCTTTTCTCCCTCGTCTGGTAAACTTTATCCACTGGGAACATTTTCAACAAATTAAAGATGGGTTTTCATAATGAAATGTCATTTTTTAATTAAAAATAAATCACAGAACTGTATATTTCATACAAATACTCCATTATCTCATTGTGGAGCCATTTTGAATTATGAAACACCCCAAAAGTTGGGTAACTTATTTTACAGATTTGGCCAGTAAAATGACAAACTGTTCCCAGAGCATGTGCTATGCAGTGAATGTTTTCAATTTAGCTAGAACTGATAAGTATTTTATTACTCAATCTAAAAATATTTAGTATATTTCAAGATATTGTGATAATGATAGTACCACTTCAATGATGTTCAGTGCAGTCCTAGAAAATAGAATATTGTTATGTCTTCTGTTGAATGATAAATTAATAGAATGTTCTTCACACTAGATCTCAGCCTCCAGCCCTGGTGCAAGCACTGACATAAATGTTAAGAAAATTGCGAGTATCGGTGATGTCTGTGAATCTATGAAACAGCAACTCTTAGTCTTGGTGGAATGGGCGAAATATATCCCTGCCTTCTGTGAGTTACCACTGGACGATCAGGTATAACTTAAAGAAGTGATGAATGCTTTCAAAAACGGTTTTTCAACTTTGCCAAGTTTTTGTGTTCTTTTAATTATGTGTACAGTAGATTTACTATATTTGACGAAGGTGAAATTATCTGATACAAAAAAGACTGGTTTTCTTGTTGTCCATTCACCTTCTTGTTCTATCAAAAGACACAGGTGTTTAACTTTTATTTTAGGGGTCTTGAAAATTTATTGATTAGGTGAAGTTGAGCAAGACACTGTTTTTCACCTCTTGGAGTTTAAAAAAGTGAGGGCAAAAGACAGATAAGTAACTGCCACTGTGAGACAAAGGGTTGGCGGAAAAAATGTCTGGGAAGCAAATGGAACACTATTCTGTCTTGGTATTTACTGAAGGTGCCTTGTAAAATCCCTTACAAGTGCCAAGCCACTCCTAGACAGAAACCACACAGGTTATGTCAGTCTTTTGGGGGACTTATATGCAATTATCATATGAAATTTTGCTCCTCTTGTCAATTTTATTTTAGCATTACTGTTTAAAAATTGTAGGTCAGGCAAAAAAAAAGAGTCTGTAGAATCGTGCTCTGAGATCTACAGAGAGAAAGAGGGAATTCAGGAATAATGATCTTTCCCTAATAAATATATTTTCATACTTTGTCACACATACACTAAGACATTTGAATTAATAGTTAAGAACTTTAATTTTTAATTAGCCTATGAAGGTTAGATTATTAGTTTTAGATTTATTGCGAACTCTTCCATCTAAGTGGTATACAATATTTTTTGTAGATGCAAATATTTTGAAATTTTCCAATTCCCCCCACACTGAATAAACCATGATACGTATCAAACGCAGTGTATATAGTTACATCCTTTGACCAGTGTTATCACGGATAGACAAAAACAAACAGCCAAAGGGAAAGGTGCAAGATTGTTTAAAAATCAAAGAAGGTCAAACTATTTATACAACCAGAAAAAAAAGTGATCGTAAGAAGTTAGTTACGTTTCTAGGAGAGTATTTCACTCGGTGACCAAAAAAACCCCTGTGAAATCTGAAATCATTCTTAAAATGTCCTGTAACTGCTTTCCTGGTGTGAGTCATGGTTATTGACATATCATAAAGATAACTTGGCTCACAAGGTTATTTCAGAGTGAATAATGCTAAATTGCTAAAACCTACTTGTCTCACCCCAAGCCATATAAGTAGAGTTATGTTATTTATCAGTTTTATATTTTTATTATCACTCTTCAAAAGTTGCTGACTTATGAATGAAGACAGTGATTTAAAAATTGGGAAATTGAAATCCAGTAACCTGTCAAAAATAGCTTTTATTTACAAACTCAGACTTTAATATTAACAATACAGCATTAACAGCCATGGATTGACAAATGCCTACTATGGGTAAGGCACTGGGGAATTAGCTTTTAGTTGTATTATATATTAGATTATATTATTTAATGCTCTCAGGAGCTCCGAGGTGTAGGTTTTATAATCTCCACTTAATAGCTTTTTAAAACTAAACTCTAGATCAGTTAAATTCACTCAGTAAATCCATCAAACAAGCATTTATTAGAACTACTGTTCAGTTTTAGGAACTGTAAGTATTCCGCAGTAAAAATATAGGCTACACCACTATTCTCGTAAAGTCTGCATTCTATTTGGGAGAGATGGACCATAAAAAATATACAGATTATGAGTAAGTTGATGCTAGGTGGGGATACGTTATAAAATAAAATGGAATGAGTTGTTGGAGAATGACGGGGGTGGGGTAACACATACTTTAAATTGGGGGTCAGAGAAGATTTTCACTGAGACCCGAAGGACAAAGGGCTAAGCGTACCAAGATCTGAGGAGAAAGCATTCTGAGTACGAAAACAGCATATTCAAAGGCCCGGAGGCAAGCAGAAACATGTACCTGCAGAAAAGTCAGCAAAGGATATTGCAAGGTGAAGCCAGAGACATGGGTGGCAGCAAAGCACAGAGCCATCCTTGGTGAAGGAGTTTGGGTTTTATTCTGAGGTCAGTAAGAAGCCACTGAAGAGTTTTCAGCAGAGAAGTGGTATTAAGTGATTATTATTTTATAAAGACCATCTTGGAAGCTCTGTCACGAGGGACTTAGGATGGAGGAACCAAGCAGGAAGCAGGAATAACTGTTAAGAGTATACTGTGGAAGGCCAGGGGTACGAAGTGACAAAGCTGGGCGATTAGAGAAGAATCAAAATGGAGTCTTGCTTTTGACACGAACAAGCATTTTGGATAATGGTGCCATTTGCTAAGATGCTGAAGATGTGGAGGGACATTCCTTGGTTGTGTTAGGTTTGAAATGCTTCTTAGTATTGTAGGGCTGATGGTCTGCAGACACCTGAGCATAGGCACCGAGCTCAGTTGAGAGCTTGTGCAAAGAGTCAGAGGATCCATCTAGAATGTAGTAGAACCCAGATCCCCCGTCCTCGCTTTGCTTTTGTTTATTCGGTTTATTATGTGTAAGAGATTGCGTCTTACACATGTTTTCTCAGTTAATCTTCGGTCTACTCTTGGAAATATTTCCTCACTGCCTCCATTCGAAAACAAAAGAGTCCCACACGTGAACGGTTTACCCCAAAGTTCAACAGGTAATAAGTGGTCAAGCCAGATTTGAACTCTGCTTTGTTTGATTTCGTTTCATTCCAAAACACTTCGTTGTGCTGTTGTTTGTTTTGCTGCTTTCTGCTGATGCTGTATTGACTTGTTAGTCTGAGAAATTTTGAACAGTGAAACTCTAGTGACATTCTGAAATAGAAAAATGGAAGGCTTATGGATGGCAACTACCTATGACTGTGATAGTTTGTTAAAACAAGCACCAAAATGTTCCAGGCTTAGAGACCACTAAGTTCATCAGACTCATACCATCTTCTCATCAATCATCCAGTTTTATAATGAATTGTTGAACTTGGAATTTTTCCATTAAGGTGGCCCTGTTGAGAGCTCATGCTGGGGAACATTTGCTGCTCGGAGCCACAAAGAGATCCATGCTGTATAAAGATATTTTGCTTCTGGGTAAGCTTTGTGTTAATCTATGAAGAAATTACGCATGCTTCCTTGTTACACAGGGCCTCTTCCGTATGTGCCAACCATTCATATACAGTGTCAAATGGTGCTCTCGCTTTGCAAGTTGGATTGAACTGATCACGTCCTCACTCAGGTCCCATTTTTCTTCGATTTGATTGCAAGGGAGTTCAGAGTGCACTGGATGTTCAGGATGTATTAAGATTTAAAAATAAGAGAAAGATGTTGCTCAAGAATCATAGGACAAAGAAAGTCATGATTTTTGTGACTGTCTTAGGAAGTCCCACTCCCTCTGTCCCTACTTCATAATCAAAATATGCTACTTCATACTTTTTCAAGGAACGCATGTATCTCCCGTGATCTCAATGCTCATGATACGCTACAAAATGCCAAGATTAAAAAAAAAAAAGAAAGAAAGAAAAATGGTGGCAGAATCTGGAAAATTCCGATATTAAATAACAGTGCTAGAAGAGGCGGAAGTAGGGTGGCACGTGGAACGGAAGGTGGGGGAGACACAAAGGAAAAGCTTTTGTCTTCATTCAATCCATCCCCAATCCCCTCACCCCTACTTACCTTATAAAATTGGGTTTCCTGTTGAAAGACCCCAGTGCTTCTTAGCTCCACCCCTCCCCGGCTTGTGTGAAACGATGACTAAATTATTTGTTCTATTTATGTGATAGCTATTTCATCCTCAACTGTAAATACATTGAACACAGGATAGTGATGGCTAGTATTTATTAAGGATGTACCATGTAGCATGAGTTGCTCGAAGTGCTTTACATGTATATCAACACAACACTCTCTCATATAATCCTCACAATAACACTAAGGGATTGATGCTATTATTTTCAGCCCATTTTTTGGGTAAAGAAATGGAGGCAAAGAAAGTTTACCTAAAGTCACAAAGCTAGTAAGGGACAGAACCAAGATGCTAAACCACATGATGTGACCCCAGAGACTATATTCTCAGGTTCTATTATCTTCTTGCATTTAGAGAACCCCTACCATCCCATTCTCATTCTAGATCTGAATACAAGATACCTAGAAAACAAAATGTTTTACTAATAGTTCTAAATTGTTTTATTGTGAAAAATTAGGTAAACTAACTTTTCATAAGATGAGCAATGCCACGATTTTTTGAATGCTTTTGCACATGTTGGTACCCTGAAGGGTGTCTTTGCCTGCAGTGAACGAATTCAGAATATTCTGCTTTTTATAAAACCATAAAATAACAATTTAGTTGTTATTTTAGGAGTATACATTTCTAATTATCTAAAATTTTGGAAGCTGTAATAAATATTCCTCATATACTAGCCAGAGACTTTCTAAGTTGAAAAGTTCTTTAGGGAGGAGGTGGTCCACTCTCTGTCTAATGTCTGAAATCCCTTAAACCCCTCCCTGTAAAGTCATCATCCCATCTATACTTAAAGAAACCCAGGAAGAGATTATTACTATTTAATGAGGCAACTGTTGAGATTACCCGTGCTCCTTTTAAAAAAAGCCAGCCTCGTCAATTTAGGCTTATTAAAATTAGCTCAATAGTTGTTATGCCTGCGTATACCTAGACCCTAAAAGGGGGCTGTTTTTAATCTGCTGTAAGTCAGAAAGATTCTGTAGGTTTCTGTATCATGCTCATTAATGAGTAAGACACTAACAGATAAGTGGCAGCGGAAAGCTAATCATTACACTTCGTTTCTGCCTTGTCAATTATTAGCTTGTAATTAGCCTGTAGTTCAGTGTTATCACCAGTGACTGAGGCTGTTAAAATGCACGCGATCACATTATCAATGTTGATCCTTTAAGTGTCCTCAAGTTTTTCTAACTTAACACTAAGAGAGGGAGTGCTACTGTTATTTCTGCAAGGGAAGGCCACGTAAAACATTGCTTTGTAAAAACTTAAACACTCTTTGACACTCTTTTGTGCGGAGCACGTAATTATTATTATTCCTCCCCCCCCCCCCCCCCCAGGAAACAACTACGTTATTCATCGCAACAGTTGTGAAGTGGAGATCAGCCGTGTGGCCAACCGCGTTCTAGACGAGCTGGTCCGACCATTTCAGGAAATTCAAATTGATGAAAATGAATATGCCTGCTTGAAGGCCATTGTATTTTTTGACCCAGGTTTGTTTCCGAAATCCCGTGGAACACTAATTCGAATGAACATGGATCAGTTTTGTAACATGAGAATACTTACTGTCACCCTCTAGTAAGATGAAATGTTGAGACTGCCCTTTGTACTCCTTTACTAGATGCGAAAGGGCTAAGTGACCCCGTCAAGATTAAGAACATGCGGTTCCAAGTGCAGCTCAGCCTGGAGGACTACATCAACGACCGGCAGTACGACTCCCGCGGGCGCTTCGGCGAGCTGCTACTGCTGCTGCCCACCCTGCAGAGCATCACCTGGCAAATGATCGAGCAGATCCAGTTCGTGAAACTTTTCGGGATGGTGAAAATTGACAACCTGCTTCAGGAGATGTTACTGGGTGGTGAGTCCATTTGGGAAGCTCTGTTGTATTCATTCGTGCCACACTATTTGCTTTAGAATAAGTTTGACACAATGAACTCAATTGTTTACATGTAGAAAGTCTACAAAGCCCATTGGGTGGGGACAACATACCTGAACATATTCAAATCCCCATCCTGACAAGTTTCCACCATGTAGCTCCACCTGGTCCCTCTAACCTCAATTTTCAGGCCCTTCAAATATGGCAAATAGAAACCTATTCCTATTTTTAGCACTCCTTGTAGTATATTTTCCTATGCCTTTACTCCTTTAAAAGCTCAAGGATATCAGAATTGCAGCATAACCTAAAATATACATTAAAATATCTTAAAAATGAACACTTTGCTCCTGAAATAATTAATTGACACAACACAATGAGAAGGGAAAAAAAATGAGATTTCATTACTGCAATAAATGTCGGGAATAAGTTAAGAAAGCATTTATTCTGTGTTCTGATCTAGATTAAATTTCCTTATGAAATCACTTTATTTTCTTTTTAGTTTTCTGGTGCTTAATGTGTTCCTAATGATATCTTCCTGAAATAAAAGTTGTTTATGCTGTTAGGGTGATCCCAAATACTATACACTTGAGGTAAGTGATTCTTGGAATTGGCTTAACAACAGGCAGCAAACCTAATGATTCCAGGAAACGGCACACAAGGTCCATTATTAATATACAACATAATATGAGGCAACATTTATCTAGCCAATGTGCAGTGAAAGCTGACATTGTCCTTTAATGTGGCAGTGGTTCTATTAATTTATTTTTGAATTCCCAAAAAGCACTTTGCAAAAATAGCAATATTCAAGCTGTCCATCAAAACATTTGTTCCAAGGTAAAATTGCCGTCCCTGATTACATGTCACTAATGCAAGCATCTTTTTATCTTCTGTAGGTGCCTCCAATGACGTTAGCCATCTCCATCATCCAATGCATCAACATTTGTCTCAAGATCCACTAACTGGACAAACTATACTTTTAGGTCCCATGTCAACCCTGGTTCATACAGACCAGATCTGTAAGTATCTGGACTACTTTTCCAACATAATATGTCTTAAGCTTTACCTGAGAAAAAGGGGGATTAGAGGGAAATAATCTAGTACAGAAACTGTAAAATTTGGATCGTTTTCTCTCCAGGAATCAACTGTGGGATACTGTGATATTCAGTAAGTCACTTATTCTCTTAGGCACGAGTTTGCTCACTAAAATGGAGATGCGAATACCTAAACCTTTCTACTTCATAGGTCTGGAGCACAAAAGAAAATATAAAGCAGTTCTATCTTTGCCTGGTAGCGAAGCACCCTAGAAATGACTGCATACTGGAACCATGCAAAGAAATCTTAATAATCAATGGGATAATTATGGCTGCTCGTGAACTTTAAAAATGTTTATCATGTAGTGTTTGTTATATGTCAGTTATACCTCAGTAAAAAATGAAAACGTTTGCCAAAACACTCTCTTAACTCTATGTTATAGATCTATAGATATGTTGAATAATATCATAATCCTAATATTTATTTTCTGCACTGTAATTTAAAAACATTAGAAACACTGAGAAGTGAAGTTTTATTTCTTTGTAAAAATATCAAGAAGAGTAGTTTGAACAGTGCTTCCACCTCCACCTCCTGGACCTTGTAAGAGGGAGTATCTTTTCTTTGCCCTGCTGACTTACTTTTTTGGAAGTTTGGGTCAGCTTCCAGCATTTTATCCTCTGCTTTTTCAGTGCCCTGAAATATCTCCAAGGATCCATTTAATGTGAAGTTTCATTCCCTCGGTGGCATTTCCGTCCTCCACAAAACAGCCCGTTTCCTCACTTCTGCTGACAAGGGATTCCTTCCCTAAGCTCCTGGCTGCACATGTAGAGACTCAAACAGCAGCGGTGTTCACTTCCCCATGGCAGCTCTCCCTTCTATAACGCCATTTTGTTCCACTGGAATCGCACTTCCAACATTATCACATTTTGCTTCTTTGCTGCACTTTCATCCCTTTTTTTAGCCAATTCCCTTTCAGTTGTCCATTTTTTTGCAAAATGTCACATGGATTTATCACTGGGAGGCAGGAGGTAGTAGTTACACACTTTCTTGTCAGGGTGCGAATTGGATAAAGTATGTTCAGGACCAGTCACAGAGACAGACTGAAAGATGAGATGTGATTGGTCACTGATCACAAGGCATCCGTCATTTGGGTAATTATTTGTAGATGGAAGAGTTAACAGCACAGTCTGTGTTGATGCAGGACTGAGTTAATTGGAAGTTACCACGCTGACTGAGACTCGCTGACTGAAAGTCGGAATGTGTTTTTGCAGGACTGGTGCTATTATTAACTGACCGTGAAACCCATGCATATCAAGAGTGGTGCCCAGTGATGGCTGTTAGGGAAAACTCTTTGGAACTAAAATGATTATATAAATACTTAGCAGCTAAGTTAATCTGATATGATTGCAGAGCTCACACAAATTCTATTTCTACATGCTGTCCTGGAGATAAAAATCTCAATTTGACCCAACATCTAGAATTAATTGCCTCTGAATTTATATTAATTAACCCCAAATGCACCTTTGATCCATGGCCTCTGAACACTAAGCCAGCAACCCGGCTGAGATGCCTTCAGTTATTGGGATGTAATCAGTATGCATACCTGTATTACCCACTGAGTTTACAATAGCCCTTAGTAACTAGTTACAATGTTGTTTTACCCAAATGTTCAATGTAATGTAACAACTTAGCGAGTACCCCCTGACTGCTACCAAGCAGTGGGGAAAGCAGAGGCCACAAAAATGCGTTTTCTCTTTGGTTATAAGCATTGGTAGACCTATGGGTACATTTTGTCCGAAACACAAAATTCCTTGAGTGTATGACAAAGGCAGAAATGAAGTTGTTAGAAAAAAAAGTACAAATTGTGCCAATAGTGTGGCACATTTAACCTGTGGGTCCCAGTGTCCTTGAAAGACATTATTTGGGGACCATCCTTGCAAAGCAGATGTTACCATTTTCATTGAATAGGTTGCCAAGAGCAGAGAGAGGTAAGCCCAATACCACACTAAATGCCATGGGGTGGTGTCTATAGAGATCAGTGATTCATAAACTCGGAAAACGAAACACATTAACAACACATTAAGCATTATAGGTGCCAACTAGCAAGAAAGTTGAATATTTCTGCTGGCAGTTGAATCTTTTATTCTTTAAATGCTAAGTTTTCTAGTAGTTTAAAAAGCATGTGTGTTGACTGTTATCTTTTTAGAATTACGTCATCACGCTTTTCATTTTTATTTTCTTCTTCTAACATCATATTTTTAAGGATTCTTCGTAAAGCAAAAATCATTTGCTTTGCTTGTGCTCATTTAGAATGGTTTCTATTTTATCCCAAACAAAACATTAGATGCCTACGCACACAAAAATGTGAGTTCATGTATCCTTTCTTGGTCTTTTAGAGCTGGTCTCTGCAGTTTCAGATCCATCCTAAAACCTCAGAAGTAATTTTTAAAGCAATATGTTTATCCTTTTGCCAGTTAAACTATCTAAAACTGTTGTTTGTAAGCAATTGCTAATCCATACTTAATAATACTAAAGTTATTCTAGTAAAGAGAACCAGGCAGAAAGGGACAGTTTTCATTTTTGTATAGAATTTAAAAAAATGATGTTGGAGGAAAGTATCTATAAAGTTTGCAGTGCTTAAGTCTGATTATCAAACATTTTTTATTTGTTCTGTTAAGTATATGGAACAGTAATAAAAGTGAGTACTAACATATTTCCAGTTTTTAAAAATTATAGACTAGAGCCTAGATTATTTTATAACATGGGAAAAGTTTGCAATAGGAGGAAGTAGTATTCTAGACAATGAAATATTCAAACTGTAACTTTTTTTTCAATTCCATAAGCTTGCTCATTGTGTTGATGGGGAAGGGACAGACATGCTCAGTTATAATAGAATAATTTTGCAGTGACACAGCCAGTGTTCTTCAGATGTGTTTAACCACAACACAGATCTCAAAGCACTTGAAAAGCATTTTACCTTCATTTTTTATTTCATCATCAAATATCTTTGAGTTCGTGGAATCTAAACCAAATATATTTTATGCTATGTGCCTTTTTTATTGCAAAAATTATAGCATTTGTTTTCTAAGATTTGAAAAAAACGTTGGCATTCTGTTCATTCTTTTCATTCCCTTTTAAGATTTTTAAGCATGGGCTAGTCCAGGTTAAATCTATTTGGAGAGGTAGGGTGGAGGCGCATCGGAAACTGTGTCAGAGAGCTGATAGTGTGTTATATAAATCCCTACGTTCCATATGACCATTTAAAAACCTCCAATATAAGATATCGCGTATTGGTGTCACCCGGGACTTAATGGATGGGTCAGGGTGACGGTCGCCACCACACACGACTCTCTGATTCTTTTTCAGCAACTCCTGAAACCCCACTCCCTTCCCCGCCGCAAGGGTCTGGACAGGAGCAGTACAAAACAGCCGCAAACCAAGCCTCCGTCATTTCACACCAGCCTCTCTCCAAACAAAAGCCATTGTGAGGATGTGTTTACTTCTGCACGGCACTGCGTAAATGTGAAAAATTACTGGCCTTGACACATCTCAGGATAGCACTTCTGGCCAACTCTCAGCTAAGCCTTCTTCATGGTGCTGTTTATAAGATGGTAACCTATTTTCTTGTTCATATGCTCATTTGTCGTTGCTATTGTTTAAAACCTTCAGTTGCAACCACGGTGCATCTGAGTGTTTGGTGTGTTTATATCGCATGTTTTTTTCCCAGCTTTCCTTGCACTGTGCCTAAAGCAGCTGAATCATATGTACGACTTTCATTTGTTGTCTTAATATTAATTTAAATCTGTAAATAACTGCTTTCTCAGGATGTGATGCAGAACTCACTGTTCTTTTTTTTGACTGAGTAGAGTAGATTAGAAATCCCAGATTAATATAAAATGAACCATGTTTTGAATAGATTTTAAATTTGCAAATTAGAAAGATAAGACGTTTCTGTAGAATAAGGCACAGATCTGTGAAGAGGCATCACTTTTGGACATCCTGTGGCTAAGAAGCATGTTTTTAGCCCACAGTTACATATGCCTGTTTTAAGTTTAGAAAAGTCTACACAACTATCCCAAGGGTGACTGGATAGTCTTTCAAATCTGACTGTATTTGAGGATGTAGGTTAAGATACAAGATGTTAGTTTCAGCAAGGAGGTTACAGGCTACACCGTAAAATGAACTGCTTAAAACAGTGGCTCATCCAAGAGAGGTTAGTTTCTGTCTCCTAAACCAATGGAGAAGTTGTCATCCATTGACTGGACCCTGGCACCTGCCCACAGCTAATGCCCAGCGAGGGCGGGAGAGTGGGCGGGAGGCCTGTGCTGACGAAGCTGTGCATTCAGGACACTACTGTTGGGAGACACCTGTCCCCCCCCTGCATTGCCTCAATTAACCCTTGCGACAGCCCTGTAAGAAAGGTGTTAGTGTCTTTCTTTCATAAATAAAGAAACCTTTCCTTAGAGGGTTTAAGTAACATATCCGAAGTTTATAAACCTCAAGAGTAGGATAGCCACATTTCAGCCCAGGCCTGGCTGGCTTTTATGAGGATAATTATATCTTCAGTGTGGGGTGAAAACTGGGAGCTTCTGACTGTGGTTTTTAAATATATGCAGTTGAGGGCTGATTAAACATTATCTGTCCTATTGCCTATAACGTGTTTACATGGAAGGAGGGAGGGTCAAATTGTTGCAGCATGGTAAGAAACCACTTTTGGACTTTTAAGAAGAGTCAGACCCCTACAAGAAATATTTTGAATACATTAAGAAAAAAGATGCACCAGATAGATGATGATGAAAACAAAAACCAATGCAAATCACTAATTAATCAGATTTCCCCAAATCCAGCAACCCAGGGGTATGCAGAATATCTGATTCTGAACTGAGGAGCACAGGTCATTGGAGCTTTAAAGTATTTGATATCTTCTAAAGCTGGAGCTCATTTATAAACAATGATGACACGTGAACCAGCGACACAGACACTGCCCCTAATACACACGTAATTTATTAGCTGAAGCAGAACAATTCGTTGAGTAATTACTGATGGTACAAAAAAGTATCGCAAGCTGTAAGAGACCGAGTTACTTAATTTTTTCAGGACCTGTCAAAATTTCTAAGATCATGATTTCATAATCCCCACTTACCACACAAATAAAAAGGCTCAGTAAATGTTAACTAACTTATTGGCTCTTAATGTGAAATTGAACTCTTACAGAGGAAAATGATTCCTTATTTGAAGCTAACATTGATTTAATAGGATCAATAAATCCTTTCAAGAGCTGGTACCTTTGTGCAACTGGAAAATATGCCTTTGAGAGACAGGAGTGGAAAGTTGTTTTAACTTTTTTGTGTGTGTAAAAATTTGGTATCCCTGTTTCATGAATAAGAATGTTTTTTATTTTTATAAGTACAAATATCATTTGTAGAGTCCTGCTTATTTTTTTGTGTCCTCTCTGGAAGATACTAAAAAAAAAACCACTTTGAAGTATAAAACAAATTCATTATTGGTAAGCCCTTTAACTTATCTGCATACATTTACTAAACAGTTATGTTTTAGAAATTATTACTAACAATTTTGTTTTAATAACTGTGGTCAGGGAGTTTGTAATATTATATTTTTGTATATTTCACTGCCAAAAATGCTGGATGAGAGCAACTGATATTTTCAAAATGTTGATAAGGAAAGTTATTGCTTTTATATAGCACAAAACTTTTTTTCAGGTAATAAAAATGAATAATTTATTGTGAAATAATGATTCATTTTATAAATGTAAAATTATTTTTATAAATTTTATTGTTGAAAATCAAAAATTACTAGATTTTTTTTTAATGTTAAATTATAGTGAGATTAAAATATTTCTAAACTGTGATACCTTGTTGTTTCACTGAACTTTCTAAATAAAAATTGAGGGGAAAAAACTGAAATGTGGTGCTTCATTAATGTTGAAAATGATTTTATAGTTTTACAGATACTGATAATATTTTCTGTATAGTCATTTAGTTAAATTTACATTGAGTTTGCTAATATTGGTCTTTAGAGGCCAGAGCAAAATCAATTAGCACATCTCCACATAATCGTAGAATTGGACACTTACTGAAGGAAAACCCTCACATTTGTACTTTAATTACATGGTTTTGCTTGCTTTTGGGCTTTGTCACATTAATGAAAATATATGACTCCAGTAGGTTTCAGCATCGTGTAGATATACTTGGCACATAAATTTTTAACCTAGACTTTTTTTTTAATTGCTGGTATCCTCTATTCATATTTAAAGCTTCTTTATAAAATTTCTTAAATTCTGAGCACTAACACATCTTACTTTTGTAGAATTCTATGGATTTTTATTTTATTTTTACCATTACCAGGGTACTATCACTACATCACTTAAAAACACAATTGTGCTCAAAATTGACAGTGAAAACCCACCCCCATCCATCCCAGCGATCCCTTCTCCCCCAGACTCTGCTCTCCCATAACAGCCCTCAGACACTGAAGCTGTTTTACCTGGGATTTTTCTCCCTAGTTTGAAAGTATATGTTATATCACATTTTTTTTTTCAAAAAAAAATTTTTTTTTCCAGTTTTAGACCTTCATCTGTATACAAACACTCAACTCCCACCACATTCTCCCAATCCCTTAACTAATCAGTATTTTTACTTGGTAGTTACTATTTAAATAACCACAAAGAGCTTGGTGATTCAAGGCTCAGAGCTTGGGATGAAGGCCTGGATCAGGCCACCGTGTGAGCCACGGGGACACAGAGGTTCAGCCGAAGGTGAGGAGACGCTGGGTTAGACCCTCGAAGAACGAAGTAATATTCTGTGTAGCCTCAGGAGCGGTTTCATCGGTGGGTCCTCTAGTCTCTTCTGCTTACCTTCTTTCTCCTTTAATTTTCTACCAGAAAAGGGGCTCCCCAGCCCTAGAAGGAGCTGCTACCTAACTTTACAGGGAGATGTGCCCCTGAGAGGCACAAGGCTTATACTATAGTTATCACTCTAGACTGAAAGACTTAACGTCGCCAGCTGCTGGAATGCACCTGGCTACGAACCTGCAGCTGGAAGACAGCCCTGGGAATGACCTGCATTCGAAAGCCGCCTCATCCATCACCATGCCCCTTCCTGCAGGCAGCCTGTGTCCAAGGATGGGCCAATGCAGGAGCATAGAGGCCTGGCCCTGTTCCCCCACCTCCGGACTACTCAAGAGCGTTCCCACTTTCAGAGCTCGTGATGCGATGGGCTGAGGTCTTTGTTGGGTCTGCATCACAGCTTAACGTCTTCCTCTACTGAAGCCTGCCTCCTTCCTCTCTCTAATAAATGTCTCACATGGTAATTTCCGAGTCTGATTTCTAGGGAACCCAACATGAACCCACACATAAAGTCCCCTTATATTTATGTACTAGCATAGGCTCTTGTAAACTGAAGTTAACCAACCATATAGATTACAATATCAATTAAAATAAAATTTGTAAAAATCAGCTCTATGTATTAAATTACGGTATCCTCAGAAGTCAAATTTATGAAATCTAACGAAAAGTGTTTACACTGAAAATGTGAAACATGTCTGAGAGTTTAATTCATTTTCAGATAAATGAAAGCATTGAAGACTGATGGATTAGGAGAAAAAGGCATTAAATATGTTGATGGGGTTGAATTGCAGATGTATGGAAATAAGTGATTAGCTGGAAAAGCTGGCCAGATCTGATTTATAGTTAGAAAAATGTAATAATTAAGGACTTTGTAAAGTAAGAGACCAGTTGACAAATTTCTAGCTTCCCCTTTTTCACAGGCAATTTCTCCTGATGGGAGTTTTCCTCTTTCCTACCGTCTCCTAGCATGCTCCTAGGAGTTAACATATCAACTTCACCCTTCCATGAACACTTTTACAACCTTCTCAGGTAAAATTAAGGACTTCCCCATGGTGTCTCACTGTTGGTTGTATATACTACTATTTATAGAATTTATTTCAATTCTTTTATTATTGCTTATTGCCAATGAGAGTGAACCTCAGGAGAGCAGATGCCATGTTGGGTACATTTTTTAATTCCCAGGATTCAAAAAATTCCTAGCAATTAATAGGTGATCAGTAGTGATTTCCAAATTAGACAAGAGCTTCGTCACAACTATGAATTGTTTTTTTGTTAGTAACACTCAAGGAGGAAATGTGCTGAAGATAAAAATAATATATTTACTTATTCAATGGATTATTTTTAGATAATTTTAACTATTTTAACATGACAATCAACCGTATTTTAAAAAATAGAGATAGTAAAAAATAAAAAGCACTTACTTTTGGTAAGTGAAACATTATAATTTAATCCTGGTCTCTCTTATTAGCGTAATCTTTTTTTCATAGATGCTTTTAAGACAGATTTCATCAACTTTTCATTTTTTAAAACGTGAACTTTGTTCAAATGACATTTTGAAGCACAAAATATATTTTTATATGGCAAAAACAACACCGGAACATAAAGGTTTTTTCTTGTGTTAGGTCTTTTGTGTTCATTTAATCTGAATGTAATTCACACAAGTAATTCTCCTCCATATATCAGACATTACAGTCAGGTCAGGTTGGTAGATACAGTTACAATATTGCCTGTTTATGCTTTTTTAAGCTACAGAATAACTTGCATTTAATACACTGATAGAATAGTAAAGCCCATGCACCCTAAGATAATGAGAGTAAAACACGGAAACAAAATTATGTTTTATTATTATTTTATTTGTAAATCATTGGTGCCCTTGCACTGTATAATAATTCAATTTAAATATAATTGTAAAGATCTAATGAGCGGTTATCTGACAGATAAATAAGATCAGAAACACAAATCAAAACATGTAGTGGTGTTTGTTGTAGAAATACAATGGTCTTCGTCTAGAATTGGACGGCTATATCTAAAGAAGAAAAATCTGAAATGAACTCTAATGGTGTCACAAGACACACAACAGTATTTCAGCATCATAATTAAAGCATTCTGCTGTGGAAGTGCCATACAATCACCTCATCATTTTCTTTTACCAAGATACAAAAAATACTTTTGCAATAAAAATATCTTGGTAATTCTAGAATAAAAATGAAATTAAGGGGAATTTTAATATAAGCATGTTTATAATAGCTGTACAAGTGTTGGCAAGCTCTTCCTGAGTATCAATTTCCCTGTGTTTAAACAAACAAAAAAAAATCCTTACAAAATAATTATAGTATTGAAATCAGGCAGGCTATTATAAGAGTGAATTGAGAAAATTTATAAAACATGCTTATATTGGAACCTGGGGCTTAGTAAACATTTAAAAAATTAGCAACTATTATTAGAAGTGCAAACAATGCAGATATTAGATATTTGTCTTACGTATATTTTAACACGTATGTTTCCCTTCCCTTAGTTTCTTAGAACATATTTTGGAGAAATTTCTCTTTAAAATATCATTTTGAAAATAATGATGTTCTCTTTTAGGCTATTTGTAATAAATCACCTTCATGTTGTCAAGTGAATTTTAAGAGCTTAAATGAATATATCTATTTTTTCAAGATATTAAAAGTTTATTCACTAGTTCCAAAATGAATTACATTTATTAATTGTCCATTTTCTCTTAGAATGCCCTTCTCAAGGTCTCTAAGAAGATGACCTCATTTACTTAGCAAAACAAAGACATCCATCAAAATTACATTTCTGTCCTCATAGTGATTTCTGTCTCATTCTCTGATTTGAAGAAGAGATATTTCCTCTTCTCTGGAACCGGTTATTCACTTGTCCTCTGGTTCAATATCTTCCTGGCTCTAAAGGATCTCATTCTCTTTTTAATATTAATATTTTTCTGGCTCTTTTTCCATGGATTTCATTGCTTCTTTTAAGAAGATAAGGATTGCCCCAATTTTTAAGAAATCCACACTTTGATTCTGTTGTGCCTCTTATTTTCAGTCTCTTTTTATTGTTAAACTTTTTTTATTATTATTAGTTTCAGATGTGCAAGACAATATAGTGATTAGACATTCACACACCTCACAAAGTGATAACCGCCTCCCCAAGTCTGCTACCCTTCTGACATTGTATTTAGTTATTACAATACCATTGACTATATTCCCTGTGATGTACTTTACATCCCGTGACTCTGTGTGTGTGTGTGTGTGTGTGTGTGTATGTGTGTGTTATAGTAGACATTCAATATTATTTTATATTAGTTTCAGGTGTAGCACCGTGGTTAGGCATTTATATATGTTTCCTTTCCCTTAGTTTCTTAGAACATATTTTGGAGGAATTTCTCTTTAAAATATCATTTTGACAAATAATGAGGTTCTTATTCGGGCTGTTTCAAGTGAATTTTAAGAGCTTAAATGAATATATATTTTTTTAACCACTTAAATAAACGATCAGGATATAGTCCTCCTTTAAAGATGGATGGGCATAACCTGCTATTGATCATAACTTGAGCATGTACAAGGAATTCTTTTTTTTTTAAGATTTTATTGGGGAATTGGGGGAGGGGAACAGCATTGGGGAACTGGGAAAGGGGAACAGACAAGTTGCTGTCCTTTTGTTCTTCAGTCTAGTTGTGGAGGACGTCACTTCACTGGCCCATGTTGGTATTATCATTGTACTCTTCCCGGGTGAGGCAGATCGGTCGCTGGCCTCTGGATGGCCGCTCACGCTGGTGGCTCTTGGCAGCTCACATTGGCTGTCGGCAGCTCATGCTGGCTGCTGGCCACACATGATAGCTTTACGCAGCCCACTGCAGCAGGGGCTGCAGCC